CGCGTTGCACCAGTCCAGGCCGTCGCGCCAGGCTGCGTGCAGCTGCTCTGCGGACGCCAGGATGCCGTCCTGCTCAGCGCACGCGCGCTGTGCCTCTGCGTAGGTCAGCTTGTAGCGGCCTCCACGGGGGTGGTAGGGGAAGACCACGCCTGGTGGGTGTGCATGGGATGAGCCAGGAATTCACTCGACCCTCCCTTAACGTACTTCATTGTTTCTATCCCTCTTCCTCTGCTGAAGACCTTTGCTCACGTTCTCTACCCTTTCCACCTGTCGAACTCCTATTCATCCTGCAAAACCCCGATCTCAAACCCTCCTCCTTCTAGTCCTACATGTTTTTAACTTTTTTTTTCTTGTACTGGGGATTGAACACTGGTCCTTGCATTTGCGAGCCAGGCGGCGGAGCCACTGAGGTAAATCCCTGCCCCTAACACTTCAGTTTTAAGACTCTGAACTTGTCCCTCGTGGGCTTCAGGGCAGGGTGTGGGGTAGTTGGACAAACTCAGCACACCCAGGAAGAAAACCCAGCCCGCAGCCAGGAGCTGAGCTCTGGCCCGTCATCAGCAGGTGCCCTGTGCTCCTTGCTGCAGGCTGATAATAGCTGTCTCCCCTGGGGTTCTCCGGAAATTAAATGAGCGACTCCAGAGCACTCTTCACCTTAAGTGGCTGGCACAGAAAACGCCTAATGAAGAAGAGCTCCTATTACTGTTGCTGCTATTTATTGTAGGGGAATTTAGCGAGTGGCGGCCCCAAAACCCTCCTGCGATCTCCTGGACTGAGGGAGTTCTTCAGCTAGAAACCACACCTCCAACCTTCAGGTCAGCCAATCATAGCAGCCCAGATCCTAGTCACAGTGATTGGCTTCCAGATGGGCACGTAACTCAAACTGGCCCAATGAGAGACAACTCTGGGACTGTAGCTGCTGATCCTAGAAAATTAGCTGCTGGGACTGACGTGAAGGCAGCGCTCTGGTGTCATGACTGGGGTTCCTTTGCATTCCGGAAAAGGCCACTGAGAAGCAGAGAAGAGGGATGTATTTCTTTCTTTTCTTTTTTGGGGGGTGGGGGTTGAGACAGGGTCTCACTATGTAGTTGAGACTGAACTGGAACCCATTATGTAGCTCAGGCTGGTCTGAAACTCACAGCGATCCTCCTGCCTCAGCCTCCTGAGTGCTGGGATTACAGGCGTGAGCCACCACACCGGGCCAAGAGGGATGTATTTCTGACAGTACAAATGCCTGGACCTCACGTACCTGAACCCTACTCTGTGGACACTGGACTGGGTCATCCTTTGTGTGGGGACAGTCTTGTGCCTTGTAGAATGTTTAGCAGCATCCGGGGTCTCTTCCCATGACATAGCAGCACTTAAAATGGCTCCAGACAGTGCCACCGTCAGTGGGGGACGGCATCACCCCCAGCATAACTGTTGCTCTGCCCCACAAAATCTATAATTTTCCTTTGCCTCTTTTGAGACCTAGCCTGGGCTACGTAGCCCAGGCTAGCCTCTAAGTCATGGCGATCCTCCTGCCTCAGCCTCCCACCTGTTGGGGTTACACGTGTGCGCCACCATGCCCGGCTAAAATCTCTAGACTTCCTCAAGCCAATCTGATTTGATCTGTGTCCCTTGCGGTCCCCCTCCCCTTAGAAGCAAGTCTCATGATGCCCATGGGCCGGTCACCTTCCAGGTCCAGTTTGACCATGCCAGCGTCATCTTCCAACTCATTGGTAACCTCGCACTCGTAGCGCCCGTAGTCTTGGAGGGTGACATTTCGCAGGACCAGTGAGGCGTCCCCAGGCCCGTGGTTCTGCAGCTCAGCCCGCCCGCGGTAGCTGCCAAATGCCCGGTGCTGGGACCCCAGCGCCACGAAGACGTCGGCGAAGGCCAGCGGGTCCACCACCTTCGTCCACTTGAGGCGGACGCCGTCGTGGCCGTGGGCGGCCGCTTCGTAGTGGTAGCGACAGGGCAAGACGATAGTGCCACCTCGGTGGCTGACCACCTGCCCGGGCGCCGTCTGCACCACCACGGAGCCCGAC